CCCCTTCTACGTCAAATTCCCCTCCCGTTAACAATATTGTAGTATCGGAGCACGGTTGACTTAACTCTAAAGAAATTGAAAAATCAAAGAGGAAACTTAAGTTGCCTCCACTTTTTAGTTTCAGATCCGTATATAAAGAGAATCAGAATCTGTTCAATTTAGCCATGAAAGAAATCCACCAATTCTAGATTAGTGCATTTTTGATAAAACAAATTGGCGTATTTTTGATCAAACAAATTGGCGCATTTTTGATGAAATTTCTTGTTTTCAAATTTGTATATTTGCAGGAGAATGCTAGCCGGGATGTCACCAAGGGAGAACCCTCTTCATGGCAAAAAGGAAACCCTGCTTCAACATCAGAAGGAAACCCTGGGTTCTGATGGAGAAACCTCTGATTACCAACGAAGTACACCATCTCCTAGAGACGGGGATACCGGGATACCGGAGTTAATTACAGAAGGTAAGTCTCCTACCCCCTAATCCCTCCCTCGTCCTCATCCCTCCCTCGTTCTCATCCCTCCCCTAAATTTCTGATTTCCTACTTTTGAAGTTGTCAACGGTAAATTGAAAGGTTTCCCTGTTGAGGGTAAATTGTTGAGCATAAGAGGANTCGGTTCGCATATTTTCTCCCTCTGAATATAATTGTCTAACATTTCTAAATTATTTTTCAGTCTCATTCTGAATTATTTATTAAATTATGGTATTAATTTGTCCTCAATATTTGGACCGTAATTATTTATTTCATTTTCTATCTCCCTGATTATTTTTTCACGTCATTTATTTATCCATCCTCTCTTGTTTTATTATTGATCATTCTTATTTTCATTTATCAATGTTTATAATTTTTAACTAATTCATTTATTTAATTTGATTATTCAGTTTTTACTCAATTTTTATATTTCTACTCTTCATTTATTTATCCTCCCTTTTCATCTTTAAATTCAAAAGTAACTTATTTTATATTTATTCATTAATTCATTTAACAAACATCACCAAAGATTGGAGCAACTCCATCAAATACGGTGTCTGAGGATTTAAATTTTTTTTTGATGGAATATTAAATTGATTGATTCATATTGATATTTTGTTTAAATATTTATCTTCCAGGTCGGACTAATGACACTGGTTGCTGGAAATCAAGACTTGAGAACTGGAAGCAGGTCGGGAACAGTTCTAACCCCACCCTCCTCCTCTCCCCCTCCCTCTCCCCTGACCTTGGGTTCGTCGACTACCCTGATATATCTGATAGTTTCAAAACCTCCTGTGATAAAAAACATCTTGTATGTAATCCTTCAATTAAATCCGAGGGAGGAGTGGCAAGATTTCCTAACGAGGGTGGAAGGCCACGCTACCTCCAACCACTTGGAAAGTATTCAGCAGAGGCTCAGCCCCCTAAGGAAGCTGTGAAACTAAACAAGAAGCTCACAGTTGAGATTGAAAAATTGCCAAAGGTTTTATCAAGAACAGTGGTTAGATCTGAATCAAAAAATATGTTCCTAGCTAGTGCTCCTCAACGGCGCAGTGTGCATAAAAATCGGTTTGATTCGCGCACCAAACAAATTTCAGTCAGTCAGAAGGAACTTTTAAATTCGTTCAGAATTGAAAAACCCCCCAGCGTGGCGAGCAATAACTCGGAAACAAATTTTACAAGTTTCTCTACGCGATCATTTTATAAATCGGAGAAGAAAAATTTACGAGATAAAAGTGATATTAAAGTTACAAAGACTGATTTAAATAATGAAATCAAAGAGTTAATCATCAGTTCCTCAAGTAATGTGATTAGAAGTGGACTCAACCCAGCTCAGGAATCGCTCAATCGCTTACTTTCCAAATCACTTCCTAGCTCGCCCTTTAGCTCACCGTCAAGCTCATTTCCTAGCTCGCCCTCAAGCTCCCAGTCGGCGGCGAGTTCAAATGGCGGCTCAGATTTCTCCCGACCGTTTCGGTTTCCCACCCTCGCTGGAAACTCTAGCTCTATTCCCTGCAAGTGGTCGGGTTGCGGGCAAGGGTTCAACTCTCACGGGAAACTTTCAGATCATATAAAGGTAATTAATGATAATTATAATCTTAGATAAACTACAAAATTATCTAATATATTAAAATATTAAAGTAAAGAATCTTGATTAAACTTCATGGCTAAAATAAATGTAAGGTTAGTATCAAATAAACAAAATATACATAAATGTAATATGGCTTCTAATACATTTTTTTTTATAAATTTTATATTGATACCGTATGTGAATATCCCCATCTCATGCANNNNCCCCCCCCCCTGCTCCCGATCTATTTATCAACATATGATCAGGACGTGTATTAAAAATAATGTTTGTCCAGTAGCATTGATATTCTACACTTAATCATAGAAATACGGATATGCAAAATCAATATAGATAGTTAAATAGTTGCAATACAGGATAGTTTGATAGTTGGATATTTTTATAGTGGGATAGCACGATAGCAAAACTATTATGACAGTGTGAACTGCTAATAGGACAAGTTGTACTTCTTTTCGGGCAGGTTGTACTGCTAAAAGGATAAGTTTTACTTCTATTAGGACAGGTTGTACTACTATTAGGACAGGTTATACTACTATTAGGACAGGTTATACTACTATTAGGACAGGTTCAGGTTGTACTATGATTAGGACAGGTTGTACTACTATTAGGACAGGTTGTACAACTATTAGGACAGGTTGTACTGCTATTAGGACAGGTTGTACAACTATTAGGACAGGTGCATAATTCGCGGGAGGATATTCAAGCGCGCAGATGAAACCCAGATTAAATATTTTGACATTTATATGCTTGGCTGCACATTCAAGCAAGATTTTAATCGATAAATATTTTAAAATGAAATTTTATTTCCATTGAAATAGTCTTTTTAACCCCCCCCCCCTCATTAACTTTGTATTCATCACATTTTTCATTCATGGGCTAAGATTATTTATTAGATCTTATATATACCTTTTTATAAATTCATCAATCAATCAATTTAACCCGATAAATCGACGTTTAACCCGCTATGATGCCGTCAATCATTCTAACTATTTATCTATCTATCTATCTTCTCAAAGTTGTAAGCGCATTTATTGCGTACTCGACCTCTCACAATTATCTTGTTATTCATGCGTAACAACTTGAGTTATGACTTAATTGGATTGAAAATAGTTCACACCAATATTTTATTATTTAATTTTTGATAATATTTTCAAATTTTCTCTAAAATGTACAAATGTTTTAAATCAAAATTGATGATTGTACAATGTACATGCTAAGTGTACACTGAACATGTACAATACTTGTACAATAATTGTACAACACTTGCACAGCACTTGTACAACTCTTATAAAATACTTGCTTGCTTTTACAATGTACATACTTAACACTAATCCATGTACATATTTAGACTGTACACATGAGTCCTCAGTTAGAATGCGGAAGTAAAGAGTACAGCTGCCTATGGACCGGATGTAAAGTTTATGCAGCAAAGTCAAGTAGTTCCTCGTGGTTAGAGAAGCATGTACCACTTCATGGGGGCAAACTTACATTCACGTGTATCGTCGAGGGATGCAAGATGCGCTTCAGCTCACAGGTACATAAAGTGCGCTCACGCTGGTCAAATTGAATATTCGAACAGAATCCTGCCTTTCCGCTTAAATTAAATATTTTTTGGGTTTTTTTATTTTAATAATTAATTTGTTTGTTCAGTTTTCTGACGTTCCTTGTTTATCTCCTAAATCCAACATTTCCGCTAATTATGTAATTATCAGTTAGATTACCTTACACTCTTTAGAGGTTAATTGGCTCAGGACCCCCTCCCTCCACTTCCAGAGACCATTTAGATCGATAACTTTTAACGGAATTTTATTTTTTTCTCTTACGAAGTAGACTATACTGTACTGTACTGTACTGTACTGTACTGTACTGTACTGTACTGTACTGTACTGTACTGTACTACCCCCCCTCTCTCTTCCTCGAGCTTTAATCTTATAAACATAAATCCTGAAATACAGGGATAAATGTTGAATATTTTTCCATCCTTTTCACAAAAAGTTACGCATCGAAACTAATGTAGAAAAAAACTTTTCCGATAAAATCGTTCACCCTTTTCTTCATGTGGAATAGGAAGACGACATTTTAGGAATTTTATGTGTACTTGATCTTAAGTGAAATTGATCTGTGTACACTGCACAATTGCGGTGTTTCATGTTCATTGGACTAATTAAGTCGACAGTTGTTAATTTCCGTCCTTTGGCGGTTATTTTTGAAGGGGTCTGGCCTTGATTTCCAGGAAATGATGGTTGATATTTTATTTTATCTATGCCATAGTTTTATGGGCTGCACTGTAAGATATCAAGTACTTTAAGGTTTATGGTTATTAAAGTTTGGTAAAAGTTGAGACTATTTTTAAGAATACAGTGCAGTTTATGCGGCCGGTGCAGTTACTACTTAATAATTCTCAGAAATGAAACAACTGTTTTTTTTTTTGCAAATAATTGCTACTTCTCCCCAACAAAGACGTATTTTGAACTTTTAAAACAAACTTTGGAGCAGTAGTTTATAATATATTTTGACCTGAATTTTATTCTAAATTTATACTTCTTTCAGGTTACGCTAGAAAGACATGTTAACGCGCATTTTACGGAAAATTCCGGAAGTTCCTCTCAAACTGGGCCCAGGAAGAGCATCGAAGGAGCGCCCGCTAGAAAGGTGCTCAAACGCGCCGGAGTCAAACTCAAATTTCGGAAATTGCCGTTTTCCGCACGGATTTTCGACTTTTTCGACGCCGGCATGATGGCGGGAATACGAGATCAAGTGTCGAGCGTTCAGTCCCTGGCGGCCAAATTTAGCATTAATGGCGACAAAATGGTTTTACAGAGTAAAGCTTTGAGTTTACGAATAGGATCTAATGGGGAGCGTGAAGTGCTGCTAAGATGGACACCTGAAAATATGTAAGTATTTCATTTTTGTTAGAATACGCCCCTTTCCTTTCAGCAAGTCTGAAATCCAATAGAATCAATATATATAAGGATTTAGGGGGAAATAGGGGGGGAAAATCCACGAAATGTTTTGAAAGAAAATCCGCAAATTGATTCTGATCCCAGTGTACATTGCTCTATACTGTATATTGTAAAGATTATGCAAAGTGTAAATATACACCACGGAAATCTATTCAATGGATTCAATATGTGTTCATTTTGTTACCAAAACAGGGATACTCAAAACATGACCAGTCATTCTTAGATAGAAAAGCTTGTAGTTTGGGGGGG